AAAAGAAGACACATTGTTTTCAGAAATCCATGGAATGTACACCAAAACAGGCCATATTCTAGCCAATAAAACGAAACTCAGTAAATGTAAAAGGATTGAGGCTACACAAGCCCTTTGGTCACAGTGGAATCAATAATCCCTGGTTAAAGATGGAAAGCGTTCCCTCCAAGATCAAAGGCAAGACAAGGATGGCCAGTTTCACCACTTCTGTTTAACTTTGTACTGGAGATTCTAACCAGAGGGGTTGGGGTGGGATGGCATTGGGGGAACATCAGATTGAGAAGAAAGAAGTAAGCTCATCTCTATTTGTAGATGGCATGGTCTTGTATGTAGAAAATGCTAAGTAGTCCACTCAAAGACTCCTAGAACTAAAACACTGTAAGTTGCAGGATATCGATTGGTATACTTACAATTAAAAAAATCACATTAAGAAAATAAACAAGTCCACTTAGCATAGAGCCAAAAAGAATTAAGACACATATATGAATTTAACGAATATTTAAACTCATTCTGAAAACTACGAAGTATTGTTGGAGGAATTTAAAGGGACCCTGAGCAGCCAAAACAGTCTTGAAAAACAAGAGTTGAAGGACTCACACTTCCTGCTTGCAAATTTTACCTACAAAGCTATAGTCATCGAGACAGTATGGTACAAGCATAAGGATAGACATAGACCAAGGGAACAGAATGGAGAGTCCAAAAGTAAGCCTCATATACTTGGTCAATTAATTTTTGACAAGGGTGCCATGACAATTAAGTGGGAAGAAAAAAACAGTCTTTTCAACAAATGGTGCAGACAACTGGATATCCACAACAAAGTAAATTTCATCAAAATTAAACATTTTTGTGCTTTAAAGGAAACAAATTGAAGAGACAACCCACAGGAGATAGGAGAAAGTGTTTGAAAATCATACATCTGATGAGGGAATTGTATCCAGAAGAGAAGAACTCTTAAAACTCAACAATAAAAAGACAACCCCCCAAAATGGGCAAAGGATTTGAATAGACATTTCTCAAAAAGAAAAACACAGACACACATGGCCAATAAGCACGTGAAAGGATGCTCAGCATCATTAGTCATTAGGGAAATGTAAGTCAAACCCCAATAAGACCCACTTCGCATCCACCAGAATGGATATAATCAAAGGTAGACAACAAGTAATGGCAAGGATGTGGAGAATTTGGAAACTTCATACATTGCTGGTGGGATTTTAAAATGGTGCAGCCACTTTGGAGAACAGTTTGGCAGTTCCTCAAAAAGTTAAACATAGAGTTACCATACAACCAAGAAATTCCACTCGTAGATTCATAACCAAGAGAAATTAAAACATGTCTGCACAAAACTTGTACACGAATATTCGTAGCAGCATTATTCATGATAGCCATAAGTAGGAACACTCAAATGTCCGTTGACAGATGAGTGGATAAACAAAAGATGGTATATACATAGAAGGAAATATTATTCAGCCTTAAAAAGGAAGGAAATTCTGATACATGCTACAACATGGATTAATGCTGAAAACATAGTAAGTGAAATAAATGAAACACAAAAGGAACTTTGTGGTACATAGTATAGTCAAACTCAGAAAGAGAAACAACAGTGGTTACCAGGGGCTGGGGGAAGGGGGAAGCAGCTACCAAGTTTCAATTTGGGATGATGTAAAAGTTCTGGAGATGGGTAATGGGTGGTTGCACAACGATGTGAATGTGCTTAATGCCACTCAATTGTACAGTTAAAATAGTTAAAATGCTAAGTTTTATGTTTATCTTAACCACAGTTTTTTAAAAAGGAAGCACTGTTACATGCTACAACATGATGAATCTTGAAAAAATTATGCTAAGCAAGGGAAGCCAGTCACAAAAGGCCACATATTATATGATTTCATGTATATATGAAATGTCCAGAATAAACAAATCCATAAGACAGAAAGTTAGGCTGGTTACCAGGGGCTGAAGGCGGAAGGAGGAGACTGAGAGTGACTGGTAATGGGTAAGGGATTTCTTTTCAGGATTCAAAAAATGCTCTAGGATTACGTAGTGGCGATGGTGACAACCTTGTAAATATACTAACAACCACTGAATTGTATACTTTAAAACAGTGAATTATAAGTTATGTGAATTATATCTCAATAAATCAGTTATAAAAAACTTAATGACTTAAAACAACTAGGGTAATTTATTTTCTCGGTATTCTGCCGTTTGGGCAGGGATTGGCAGAGATGGCTCATGTCCCCTCCACATGGTGTTAGCGGGGCTCACTCCTGCTGCTTCATGCCATCAGTTCAGCTGGGGCTAGAACATCTGACGCCACTTAACTCACAGGACTGCCGTCTCACCTGGCAGCCTCTCTCCATGTGCACTCTCTCTCTCTCAGAAGTCTAAGTCAAGTTTCTTTAGGTGGCTGGATCCCAAGAGGGTGGAAGCTATCAGCTTAAGTCCTGGACTTGAAAACACCAGTCTATGACTTCTGTCATACTCTGTTGGTCGAAGCAAGTCACAAAACTGGCCAGATTCAAGAGGGGACATAGACTCCACTTCTTGATGAAAGGAGTAGCATGTATGTATAGAGATAGGAGGAATCTCCCAAAGACCATTTGAAGCTGAAATAATAGGACCTTTACTTCCAGCAATAAACAGAACTAAGTAATACGGAAAACGCTCTTCTTACAAAACACCTGGAAACTCTTCATATAACAAATAACCTTTCATTGCTGTGCACCCGTGAAAGTAAAGATTATCTCCAGGTACAAAAATGAAGAATCTAGAGACTGGAATGTTAAGTTAGCAGTGAAGCTTTAGCTACCCTAAAAGTATTTGTTGATACAAGGACTTAAATGCTGGATTTCAAAGGCTGAAATGGGAAGAGGAGACAAAGCTATCAGCCCACACAAGAGCCACATACTAAATTCCCTAGTGGTGCCTCCTGGGATCATCTATCAAATAAACTACTTGCACCTGGATCCTTGTCCCAAGGTCTGCTTCTAGGAGAGCCCACTCTAGAACAATTGGTACCAGGAGGAGGCCTAAGAAGTAGATCCTTAGAATTGGATTCCGGAATTGGAAGACTCATCAGCTAGATGGCAACAAAAACCCAGTTAGTGATGTTAACTGGGGTAGGTAGTATGGTGGATTAAAGATAGCACATTACTTGCCACTCTTCCCTTCAAGAGGTGGGGTCTGCATCCCTTCTGAATCTGAGTGGGCTCTGTTACTATTTTGATCAGACATGACTCAGCCAGCTTCCGGGCCCAGACTTTTAAAGAATTACACTTTCCCCATTTCCTACCCCTGGAGTACTCTCTGGAGGTCTTGAGCCACTACATATGAAGATTGACCACTGAGACTACACACTGGATAAGCCATGGGTAGGTGTTCTAGCTGACAGTCCCACATGAGCCCAACCTTCCAGCCTTCCCTGCTAAGATACCAGACATGTGAATGAAGCTGACTTGGACCCTTCAGACCAGACCATGTGCAAACTAAGTACCACAGAGTAACCTCAGTTAATGCCATGTGGAGCAAAGGAATCATCCTGCCCAAATACCTAACCCGCCAAGTCATAAGAGATAATAAAAGAGCTATTGTTTTAAGCAGTTGAGTTCTGAGAAAATTTGTTTTGCAGCAGCAGCTAGCTGGAACATGGTGGTAACACTTGGCATGCTGAGTCTCATCATTACTGAGACTAATCTCTTCTGCTCTGGGATGGGGCACATTGGTGAAAGGGGTGCCTTGGCTTAGGCAATGTCTCTAATATTTGAGATACATGGGGCAATGGTCATTTATAAGGAAAGTGAAGTTGATTGTTACTAAGTGGCAATGATGTGCTGAGGATGAAAATAATAGGCTCAGGACAGCCTTTTATCTACTCATGGCCCAGTTTGAAAACCAGGAGGCTTAAACAACAGTGTTTGAAGACTCGTCTACTGCAGCCAGAGGGCAGACTACCAGGGAAGACCCAGACCCTGCCCTCACCAGCAGGGTGGAGCTCTGTAGCAGGCCAAACAGATGACTCTCCTAGAGTCTGTGCTCCAGTCAAGGTCCCAGAAGGGAAGGATCGGGACACTGAGAACTAGCACAGAGCATCCGAGTAGATGGGCTTGAGAATCCCTAACCCCAGATTCCCATTAACCCACTGGGCCAGCAGAAGTGACCCAGTCCCTCTTGCTTGAGAATGGCAGCCTTTTACCTGGAGACCATGCAGAGTCCCCACTGTGATGGTTAATTCTGTGTGTCAACTTGACTGGGATAAGGGAGCCCAGAAAACTGGTAAAACATTATTTTTGGGTGTGTCTGGGAGGGTGTGTCCAGTGGAGATTAGCATTTGCATTGTAGACTGGCTAAGAAGATGTCCCTCACCAGTGTTGGTGGGCATCGTCTAATCTGTTGAGGGCCCAAATAGAACAAAAAGGCAGAGGAAGGGTAAATTTGCTCCTTCTGCTTGAGCAGGGAAGTCCATCTTCTTCTGCTGTCAGACATCAGGACAGGGGCAAGGCCAACTGGCAGCCAGGGAGCTTGGGCCTGCAGGGCTCTGTGCTGATGGCTAGTAGACCATGGTATTCCCAGGGACTATGGCAACCATGATATTTTTAATCATCAAAGAAAGATGGAAAACAGTAAACAGAAAGCTAGTGCCACCTGCTAATGGAAAAATCTCAACCCCTCACCCAGTTTCCAGGCCCAAGTCAGTCCTCTGACTCAGAGGTCACTGAAAGGGAGGCTGGGTCCTCTTAAGAAGAATGCTGTAATGCTACAGCGAACGTTTGCAGTGGTAATTCCCCCAGGCATTCCCCAAAGGGACCCATGGCCATTTCCAAGAAGTAACTGTAAACCGGGAAAAGGGGAATACTAGAAGTTTCAAGGGCAGTTGAGTATGTGATCTGAGTGGGCCTTTGGTCACCAGATAGATGGAGTCCTTGGACTTATCTGTCTACATTCACTCCCTGGCTGATGACACCTTCACTCACAGCTTTTAATGATGTGTGTACATCGCCAGTTCCCACATGTATTTCTCCCGGTCAGACCTCTCCTCTGATCATCAGTTTCCTACCTCTCTTCCCACCTGACATTCCCTGGGGATGTCTAAGGGCATCTTAGTGTGGTTTGCAGTCAAGTCCAGATCTGACCGCACCCCCAGATCTGACCGCACCCCCTCCTGTTCCAAGTCCACCTCTCCTATCGTATTCCCATCTCATTACATGACAACACCATTCTTCTTAGTTACTCAGACACCGAAACCTGGCAGTAGTCCTAGATTACTCTTTTTTCTCACACTGCATATCCAACCTGTCAGCAAATCCAAATTGGAATTATGCAGAACATACCCAGAATCCGACTACTTCTCATCACCTCTACTGCCACTTCCTTGGTGACCAAGCCATCATCTTTCTCTTAGGTTATTTTGATAGTGTTCTAAAGGCCCCCACGGCTGCCCTAGCCCTCCCATGGTCTAATTGCAATACAGCAGCCAAAGTGACTGTTTATATATCACTCCTCTCTGCTCAAAATCCCACAGTGACCCCCATCACTCTCAGAGTAACAGTTCAAGTGCTTCCAGTGGTCTACCTGATCCTAGCTGACCGGCCAAGCCCCCTGCCCCCTCCCTGATTATTCCTCTGGCTCGCTGTGCTCTGGCCACCCTGCTCTCCCTGCTGTTTCTCTACCACACCAGGTAGAGCCCCAGCGCCTCTTGCCAGTTCCCTCTGCCCAGAATACTCTTCACTGAATGCCTTGCTCCCTTACTTCCTTCAGTATTTGTTCAAATGTCACTTCAATGAGGTCTTCACCTTATTTAAAATTACACCTCTCCTCACCACGCTCCCCATCCTCCTTCAGTTTCTCTTCAGGACTTTGCACTGACGCATATAGTTTGTATTTTGCTTCTTCATGTGTTTATTGTTTCTTTCCCTCGTTAGAATATAAATTCCGAGAAGGCTATATTTTATTTCACCCCTGTATCCCTATCTCTTAGGACAGTGCCAGGCACATCCACTGCTATTTGTGGAATGAATGAATGAATGAATGAATGGAAAGTTGAGCTCGCACCCGTGAACGGCTCAGGTCTACGCCATTTACTCCTACATTCATTCGCTGACTTTATTCTGAGCAAATAAAGTGGCGCCCTGGGAAGACGGGGCGGGAGGGAGTGGGGCGGGGGATGTGAGGGGAAAAAGAGGGCTCGGAGAGGCCAGCCTGGAACCGAGAGGGCGGCGCCCCCACGCGGCGCCATCGTCACGGAAACGCTCTGCCCGCACCTAGCACCGAACTACAACTCCCAGCGGCCCCTGCGGCTTCCGGTGGGCAAGATGGTGGCGCGCAGAAGGAAGCGTGCGGCTGGGACCTCTGAGACGGAGATTCTGAGCCCGCCGGGCTACTCAGGTGAGGGGCTGTAGGACGCAGGGACGTGGGACGGCCAGGCTTCGCTGGAAGGAGGGTCGGGGTCCCCAGGAGCAGCCGCACGGTTGGGCGTGAGCCCCGGGCCCCTCAAGACACACACGGCGCCCTGTTCCTGTCTGGTTCCACTCGCCCGGGACGAGCCTAGTTTGGCCAACGCTTCCCTTGAGTGAATCCACCTATGTCCGTCTACACTCTCCCCCTAAGGTGCGCCCATCCACTTAGCACCTCTTGGCAATTCGTAGTCCAGCCTTCTTCAGCTCTCACCTGAGCTGTTGTGTGCTCTCCTCACTGGTTCTCCTGCTTCTGTTCCTGTCCCTGCCTTCTCTTCTCCACCCAGGTGCCAGAATGTTCTTTCTAAAGTCAAATTTAAATAAGATCTTGCCTCACACGTCCACCTATGTCCCCCTGAATACCCACTGAGCTCCCTCCAGTGGCCAAAGTTAGCACATAAACAAAATCCAAACTGATCTGTGGGGCCCCATATATTCTGGCTTCTGCTAATCTATAGTTCTGTCTTTCTGTTTCTCGGAGACAAGCTCTTTACACCCTCGGGATTTTTTGTCTTCTTCCTTAGAGTGTCAGACAGCACTACCCTGTTACATGGCTTCATGTCATTCTCCTCTAAGCTTTAATGTTACTTCCTCAAAGAGGTGGTCCCGATGGCTATCTAAAGGCCTCTGCCACCCATCACCACTACTCTGTGTTTCCTTCCTAGCTGATACAACTTTGTTACCTGCTTACTTCTTGTTGTCTTCTCCCTTTATCATGTGGGCTTCCTGAGGGCAGGAGTTGCAACTATATCCTCACTGTGCCCTGAAGAAAGTGGTGAGAAAACCCGAGAATAGTCCTTAGCTTGTTAGGGTTAAAATTGATGGGAATGCCACCGATTATCCAAGTAATCACACAAATGGAGACTTAGAGACCGTGAGAGAAGTTAAGAAGGGGGATCTAACCTGGCAAGTAAGACTCTCCGGAGGGAGTAAAGTTAAAACTTGAAGAATGGGTGGAGGAACAAGGATTGATGTTTCAGGCTAAGGGAACAGTATGTGTGAGGCCCTGGCTTATTGGGGGAACAGAGAAGGCCAGCGGGGCCAGTGTGTGGCGTGGTGTGGGGAGAATGGTGTGAGAAGTTGCAGAGGGGGTCAGGGTCGCACGGGCCCCTGGCCATGGTAAAGGTTTGAGTGTTCACCCCAAAAGCAGCAGAGGTTGAACTTCTCTCCTTTCGTTCCTCACTTACATTCTCTCTCCCACCAGCTTGAGAGCCTCTCCTGGGCAGATTAGCTATTCATTCACTCTCACAGCCTGCACAGCACCCTGCAAAGGCATTGCCCATGGGAAGGGCTCAGTGAAGGATGGATGGATGGATACACAGGACCAGAAAGGGACAGCCTGAACCTGACTTTCATGCCATCTCTCCCCACCCCCATTTTCCTTCCAGCCATTCCAGTCAAGTTCTCTGAAAAGCAGCAGTCTTCTCATTACCTCTACATAAGACAGCACAGAGTTCGAGAAGACACTAAGTCTTCCTGGCCTCAGAAGCGGACCCTTTTTGTCCTCAATGTGCCTCCATACTGCACAGAGGTAAGCTGGTGTCTGGGAGGGAAACTGAGGCTTGGGTGGGGGCTCCAGGCAGAGCTGGGCTCCAATGGGACTCCCCTACCAAATCCTTAGTAGTGAGATGGAAGCAGCTAACTGAAGTCCTCTGGTATCTAGAAGGCTGCCTCTCTTGTGATGGGAAATTGTTTGTGTTGAAGAATTTTTTAATTTGATTTATTTTTTTATTAATGGAAGTTCTGGGGATTGAACCCAGGACCTCGTGCATGCCAAGCACAAGCTTTACCACTGAGCTCTACCCTACTTCAACCCAGGAAATAGGCTTTTTAAAGATGTGTTTTAAAAAATGAAATTCTAAGGAGCCCAGAGCTTTTTATATATTATCCATAATTGTTTGAATTACATGATTTTCCCCTCGATTAGTTACTGTTAAAATACAGCTTAAGTGTCCTATTGCTTAAAGCAGTTGATGCGTAACTGTCTCTGTCTAGTGTAATTCCATACTAAGACGGAGACAGTTGGTCTCAGCCTATTTTTTCTTGAGTATTGTGAAAGTTGTGCTAACGACTTGTGTGATGTGTGACAACATAATCATTGTCTTGAAAATTGACCCATGTTTATAGTAGAAGATAGGAAAAGTAGAAGAAAATAAAATTACCTCTGAATTTACTATCCAGGCATGTCTGTTAATTTTTTTTTTCACAAAACTGTTAAATTTAGTATTTCATTAATTTACAGAAGAGAAACTAAGGGCCTTATTTAGATGAATTTTTTTTTCAAGAAAAGAAATCATTTCTAAGAGAGTCCTCTAGCATTAAAGAGAGAAAGAAACAGAGAAGAGGGTGTCATTTTTTAATCATTATTGAAGTCTAGTGTATACAGAGAAGGGCCTGGGCCGAAGTGCAGAGCTCACGGCATTTCACAAACTGAACAAACCTGTGAATCAGCACCCAGATCAAGACGCAGAGCATCACCTGTGCCCCAGAAATCCCCTTGTGCCCCTGCCCCTACCAAGGATGACCACCATCCTCATTCCAACAGGGTAGATTTTACTCTTTAAATGGCTGATTCAGGTGGTAAAACTTAGTTGGTTGTCTCATAAAATCAGAATACTCAGAAGAAAACCAAAAATGTCCCCACCTATTCTTGCAATGATTTTTTTAAAAGCTTACACCCACCCCTACTTTAGGGATCATTCACTCTGAGAAACTGATAGGGAAAGACAGATCTTTCAGCAAGATGGCCTTTCACAGGGAGAAATCCCTTTCAAGAACAAACCAAGCACACCTAGGCATATGCCTCCAGCCAGGTCCTGGGTCGTAAAGCCAAAAAGCTTCTACCTGAATTCCATGTCACGTTCCATTTCCTCCCTCCCGTGTGGCCTGGCCACTGGTCCCCTGGCAGCTCCAGAGGGCCCTGTAGCCACTCGGGCTGCGCTGCTCACGCTGTGCCTCTCTCTGGCCACGCAGGAGTGCCTGTCCCGCCTCCTCTCCCCCTGCGGCCCTGTGCAGTCTGTGGAGTTACAGGAGAAGCCGGACCTTGCTGAGAGCCCAAAGGAGCCAAAGTCAAGGTTTTTTCACCCCAAGCCAGTTCCGGTAAGCCTCCACTACTGGGGTCTGCTTGAATGAGGATGTGGGGTGGGGCTAGGACAATGTCCCCTGTGTGTGAGGGGAAGGTGGCATCGGGGGTGGCAGTGGACTTTCGAGCACTCCCTGTGGTTGGGCCAGTCCTGGCCGTGTGTGGTCTAGGAGGGCTGTCAAGTAAAAGGCCTCCACTCCTTTCCCAGGTTTGTTAGCTTCCTGTCCGGCTCGCTGTTGTCCTGTGTGAAAGCTCAGAGATCTCTGCCCTGAGGGGCCTCCCTGAGCTCCCCTCCCGCTTCCCACACTGAAGTCGATTCTTCCTTAGGCTCAGTGGCCCTGGTCTCATTTCCTTGTGTCCCTTGAGCCCACACCCCCTCCTGTTTAGTGGGGTTTAAACTAGTGTGCACCCCATCGGTCCATCTACTCCTGGCCCAGGGAGAGCAGGCTCTGCACTGAGTCCTTCCCACAACCTGAAGAAAGGCCCAAGTGTCTCACCTCTCCCTGATGAAGAAGTGGGATAAGGGAGGGTGGCCGCCCCACCCCTGGACTCGGGCAGCCTCCTGGTTGTCTTCACGTCCAGGAGCAGCCCAGCGTCTTCCCTGTCCGGTGACAAGTTGGGCTGGGGACAGGTGGGAGCCCTTGGGCCAGGCCAGGGGAAGCTCTGGGAACTGACGTCTCTCCCTCCCCCCAGGGATTCCAGGTGGCCTACGTGGTGTTCCAGAAGCCAGGTGGGGTGTCAGCTGCCCTGGCACTGAAGGGCCCTTTGCTGGTCTCGACAGAGAGTCACCCTGTGAAGAGTGGCATTCACAGTCAGTACCGCGGGCACCTCCCCGCTGGGTTGGGGAGGGGACCTTTGTAGGGCAGCGTCTGCCGCGTCCACTTGCCCTGAGAACTGCTTGTGGGAGGCCTGAGCGTGGTGCCCGGGGTGAGCAGAGGTGAGGGCCCAGCTTGCCACCACTAGGATCTTCCTCACCACCTGGGCCCTGGCCCACAAGTCTCACCCCTGCAGCCCGTGTGAGAAGAGCCTGGCTGGCCTGCCAGGTCCTGGGCTGGGGCCCTAACAGTCGGGCCTGAGGAATCCCCGTTTCCCTCGCTCCCTTCTCCCTCAGAGTGGATCAGAGACTATGCAGACTCGGTGCCGGACCCCGAGGCCCTGAGGGTGGAAGTGGACACGTTCATGGAGACGTACGACAAGAAGATAGCTGAGGTGGGGCCTTGGCACGGACGTCACCTGTGTGGCCACGGGACAGTGCTGCTATAGGTGTCCTGGTGGCTCCAAGGGGACCCTTCCAGGGGCAGCCTGTTCTGGTCATCATGTAGAGCCCGGATTCCCTCTTCCTCTGCTGAGTCCTGGACCTCCTGGCTGGGTGACATCTAGTCTCTAAATGGCCTGAGGGAACGGACGGTGGAGGGTGGAGGAGGAGGCAGCGTTGGCACGTCACCCCTGCCCCACCTCAGCTGCTAACACCGCGCAGAGGGAGCAGCAGTGCTGGGTGTCCTGGGTGTGGAGGGGAGAGAGGGGCGGCTAGAGGGTTCCAGGGGTGGCAGGGAGGGCCCCAGGTGCCTGCCCATCCCAGGGTCCTGTTCCTTGCAGGAGGAAGCTAAGGCCAAGGAAGAGGAAGGGGTCCCTGATGAGGAGGGCTGGGTGAAGGTGACCCGCCGCGGCCGGCGGCCCGTGCTCCCGCGGACCGAGGCGGCCAACCTGCGGGTGCTGGAGAAGGAGAGGCGGAAGCGGGCGCGCAAGGAACTGCTCAACTTCTACGCCTGGCAGCACCGCGAGACCAAGATGGAGCGTAAGGGCGCGCCCCAAGCCCCTGCCCTGGGCGCCCAGGCCGTGGATGAGGCCTGTGGTCGCTGCTGACGCATCACCCAGTCTCACTGCTCTCGTCTGCCTCACTGCTCCTCCCCACACCCTGCCCATCCCTCCTTTCGCGCCTTCACTCTGCTCGCCTCTCCTCTATATTCACCTGACACTGGGCCTCCGTCAGCCTTCCCTCCCTCGGGCTCAAGACCCCACACACCTCCCTGACCTGGCCAGAGCCACCATCTGAATTCTGTGGCTCTCTGGGGTCAAGGCCCTTTACTTCTTCCCAGCATCCTCTCTGGTCTGACAGCTGCAGTGGGAGGGGCTGGGAGAGGTGTCTCCGGGGGTCTCCCAGCCTCCCTTCACCCTTCATCCTTCACCCTGGGGTGTGTGTTGGGAGCGGTGAGGGAGCAAGTGCCTTTTTGCTTTCTCTGTGCCTTTCCTTTGACCTGGTGCATTTTCTGTCTGAAAACTAAGGCAGGCCGGCTTCTCCACTTCAGCCTCCGTCCTTTGACGGGGCTGCAGTCCGCACCCGTTTCCCACAGTGGAGGCAAGTGGGGAGGCCGTGCCGAGCTTCCCCAGCGGGGAGTGGGACTGCGAGGAGGGGCGGCGGGGGGCAGCTCCCACAGAGCCAGGTTGTCTGATTGGCCTGTTTCCTGTCCCCCTCCTGCCCCAGATCTAGCACAGCTGCGCAAGAAGTTTGAGGAGGACAAGCAGAGGATCGAGCTGATGCGGGCCCAGCGCAAATTCCGACCCTACTGAGCCTCACCGGCCGAGGGCGCCGGGGAGAGGGCTGGTGAGCGGGTGGCAGCGTGTGGCCAGTGAGGACACGAGGGTCTGAAACTCCCATCACAGAGGCTATGCCCGGGCCAATGGGCCACCGTGTCAAACAGCCCCAGAGATCTGAGCCTGGGCAGGGTTGGGTGAAAGGCAGTGTCCCCCCTCGGTTCCTGTACTCGAGCAGTCCTGGGGCCCAGCACCGGCGCGGCCTGCCCAGCACAAGGACTTGGCCTCAGGAAGCCACTGGCCCAGGAAGTGGCTCCTTCCCTCCCCTGAGCTCTGTTCCCAGCCGGTCTCTGGACTTCCCTCTCAGGGCTAAGTGTCTGCTATATTCTCCCCTTTCCCCAGTGGAGAAGCCCCTGCAGGCAGTGAGAATACAAGGGCATTTTATTTTTCATTCAGTTGGGCAGCAAGTAAAGGCCACAAAAGCTGGGTGGGACTGTCCTAGCCCCCCCACCCACTACCCGCTCACAAAACAGATAACCCCCCGAATCCAGACACCGTCTTCCCCTTGCAGTCACAGGTATTAAAGTCAGAATCCTGGCATGTCCTCCTCAACTCTGCCACAAGCTTCTTTGCCAGCCATGCTGGTCTTCAGGATCAGGAAAGCCTGTCCCCACCACGCCTGGCCTGGGCTTAGGAGCTGGGAGTCCCGTGCTAAGCAGGAGGTCTCGTAGCCCTGGGGCTACAGCTGGGCTGGGATCCTCTCCTTGCTCTGTAAGAAGGAGTTGATGACACTGGCCACGAGCTGGGGTTGGTTCATGTGGACGTAGTGATTGCCTGTGACTTCCACAAACTGGAACCGCTGGGAGAGGGAGGGGATGTGTGGTGAGGTGACAGAGGAGGGGGCCGAGGGCATGTTGGGGCTTTCCCGTGCCTACTGCCTCCCGAGATTCCAAGCGTCCCGCACCAGGAGCCTTGGCAGTGACTGACCCACAGCTCTGCAGGCCCTAGCCAGTCACTGCACCCCCTGGGTGATTCAGGGCCTGGCCAGTGAGAAAGGCCTGCTGGGAGGGAAAAGCCTAAAGCCTGGGGTTCTAGGCCATTCGGAGCTGAGGTAATAGAGCTAGACTGGGGGGGGGGGCAGTAGTCAGGGCTACTGGTTCTGATCATCATATAAGGTCCGCTTGGAAAAAGCAGAATGAGCAGCCTTTCAGACTTGCTCCTGCCCAGGAGAGAGGCTGACAAGACACGGCCCTCTGGCCAGCCAGCCACATGGGCTTCCCTTTTGGGACAATGCCAAGTTACCTGCACAAGCCGCAGGGAAGGGTCAAAGTCACATGTCCCAGCCCTCCAACTTGGAGGCCAGCACCTACTGACGGGACTGGTCATCTGTTCCCATTTGGGGCCCTAGGAAATTACAGGGCTGCTGAGTTGGGCTTGGCCTGGGGATATATGAGGACAATAAAACTGGAAGATTCTGCCAATGAAAAAATCTGTTGATTTACAAGTGACCCCAGGTCTCGGACTGACCATAGTAGGGAGTGAGGCCTGGTAGCTCCTGGGAGTCACCTGTTAGACCAGGGCAGGAAAAGGGGTGGGTGAGGTGTGGAGCCCAGAGCAGCCTGGCACCACCCCAGGCCCCAGCCACCCGAGCCCTGCGCGCCCACCTCTTTCAGGACAGCTCTCAGCATCCTGATCTTGAACAGCATGGGCTCTTTGTTGGCATCATTTTCTCTCCTCACATCATGATATCCTTGGGTTGCCCTGGAAAACGGAGGAGGAAGGTTCATCTTGGACCATCTTGCATTCTTCCCCCTCCCTTGGGCTCCAGGCTTGAAGAAAACAGGCCTGGGCTCCCTCTGATTTTCCCACAGCTGGGTCCCTCTGAACCAAATTTAATTCACGTTTGAGTCGTCCATTCCCCACTGGCACTCAGGGCTCACCGCGGCCCCCACAAGCAAAGTGTTTCAGGCTTGTCTCAACAGTCCTGCCCATGGGCACAGCCACCAAATGGCAGAGCCAGGATCTGGATGGGCTCTTTTTAACAGCTTTATTGGGATCATTTCATCCATTTCAAGTGTACAATCCCATGGATTTTTGTACACTCAAGGTTGTGTAACCATCAATCATCAATTTTAGAACATTTATCACCTCAAAAAAAATCCCAAACCTGTAGTTTTCAGACACACACCACACACACAGCTCCCAGTCTTGCATAACCACTGCTCAGCTTTGCCTCTAGAGGTCCCTCTTTGGACTTAAATGTGAATAGAATCACAGACTAAGTGGACTTTTGTGAATGGCTTTTTTCAATTAGCATAGTGTTTCCACAGTTCATCCATGTGTGTATCACTGCCTCACTCCACTGTACTGCTGAAAAATAGTCCATTGTGCGGATAAGGCACGTTTTGCTAATCTGTCCGTTGATGGACATTTGGGTTGCCTCCAGCACTATGCATTCCATTTTGAAGGCTGCTGTATGAGCTGTCAGTACAAGCTGTTGTGTGGACAGGTGCTGGATTCATACCTAGGAGTGGAACTGCGGAGTCATACGGTCACCTGGTAATTTAATGGCTCGAGGAGCTGCCAGACTATTTTCCAAAGTGACTGCATCATTTTACAGTCCCACAGCAACGTGAGGGTTCTGGTTCTCCACATCCTTGCCACACTTCTTATCTCACTTTTAGAGTCTAGCCATCCTAGAGGGTGTGCAGTGTATCTCACTGTGGTTTGGATTTGCACCTCAAGTCCATGCCTTCTAAACCCCTGTGCTCGACACCTGAGACACAATGTGTCCCTGGGAGTCACAGTTCCTGCTTCGAGCATGCCATGGTCCAGCGTGGCTGTGGTGGAGTTGGGGGTGGCATCGAAGCTGTGGATGTGGGATCTCGCTGTGCTGTGGGACCCAGGGGCAGTGGATGGCTTCTGGCTGGGGGGTGGGGGAGGGGAGGAAGGCAGACAGAGGAAGTGTAGGCCTGGGGATGCGAGGGGTGCAGGGGCTGGAGGATTTGGTACAGCGAAGGCCAGACTGTAGTGTCTGCCAGCCTCTGCCTTACCCGGGTGTCCCCTCCACAGACACCTGCTGAAGGTGTGGTGTAGTCCTTGCCATTCCTTGCTGCCCAAGCCCTCCCATCGCCCTGCCTTCCACACACCAGCTGCGGGGGTGCTAACCAAGAAAGACGGAAGCGTGACACTGGAGATGCCAGCACTCCTGTCTGTCTGGGGCACTAGGTTCAGACTTACTTGATGAGCAGGACGCGGGCCTGCAGCTTCCTGATGCAGTGCTCAAACAGCTCCTTGCTGACGAAATCTAAGCAGTGCTCTATCTGCAGAGACAAAAGCATCGAATTTTCACCACAAGGCACCAGCACTGCTGTGGGTGTGAAGCCTCACCCTCTTTTAGGGGAAGAGGGGACTCCTTTGGCCATTTAACCCAGGAGCACGCCCCGTGCCCAGGCACATCACCTCCTCAGCAGAGGGCTCTTTAACTCCCTCAGGCCGAAGAGTCGTCCTCCCCCTGCATCTGTCCTTGCTGGGCTCGTGGCTGCCCGGCCAGAGGGCACTTCCCAGAATCCCCTCAGCCAAGGGTCGCCGTACAACTAAGCGCAGAGAAGTGACCTGGGCTACTCCTGGGCTTTGATTTTAGGCCTGAGGTGTGGCCCCTCCACACCTCCTGTCCTGTCCCACACGCTGCCTTGCAGTGCTGCCCAGCCACCCTGGGCCCTGGACTCTGCAAGCAGAGCTCACCCACCTCCACTGACCGTTTCAATGAGGAAGAAATTTGCTAAGCCACCGTGCAGAAAGAGTACACCTTGATGTCCCCACGGCCCCCGCTGGCCTCCATCACAGCCCTGACCTCCCTGTCCTGGGACCACTGAAGAGGTCTGAGTCTGCTGTCCACACGGTAATAACCGTCAGTCACACGTGGCTACTGAGTGCTTGAGAAGGGGCTAGCCCGGCCTGAGACGTGCTGTGGGTATAAACTGCACGCTGGATTTTGAAGACTTAGTGTGAAAAAGTCACGTCAAACATCTCAGTAATTTTTATGTTGATTACGTGCTGCAATGGTAACATCTGGGATACACGGAGCTAGAAAATATTACTAAGGTTGATCTCACTCGCTGCTTTTCGCTCTTTTCAGATGGACTCTGGCCTGCGCTGCTGTAGTCCAAGAAGTCCCCGAGGGCAGGCGCCCCCTACGGACGGGCTCTGTCACATCATGCGCGGTACTCCTGTCCCATTGCGATGCATGGACTGTTCCTGGGAGAGCACACCCCACAGCTATCTGGTCACAGCCCCGAACACTCACTGTCCTTGTTCTGCCCTGATCCCTCCCAGCCGCTTGCTGCTCCTCAGGCTACAATGACCTTGGGTGCTTTGTCCAGAAACAGGTTCCCTTATCATCCACCAGGCACGTCTGAGGACCCAGACATGCACGTGTGATCTCCCGGGGAGGATCCGAGAGGCCAAGTGCTTGCGCTGCCATCAGCAGCTCCCGGGAGGTGGCGCCAGGACTCAGGTGGCCCAGACTCCCGGACCGGACTGCCCTCCACCCCACCCGAGCCTTGCTTAACAGGCTTCTCCCGCCAGGACGGGGGCTCTGTGGCTTGCAGGCTCGGTCAGGCCCTCAACTTAATTATATGCTGGTCCCCAAGGCAGAGATTGAGGGATGTCACCTCCACTCATGTCTCCAGACGTGAAGATGTCACACAAGCCTGGCTTTGTGCAGTTTCCTCAAAAGCGACAACACAAGGGCATTTCTCCAAGAAAGCCTTTGAGGACGGCTGCTGGGTGCGTACTTTCTCTTTCTGGCTTCTTTTTTCTCATCCTCTCCACCCCTCCTGGGACCTTCTTTTCCTTGTCCACTTTCAGTCCTTGATCTGTATTTCTCTTTTGTAGTTCACACGTAACTGACAGCCAAGTCCACAGACCTGAGTGTCTGCTGCTCGTGGCCTCGGACAGTGAGTGCAGCCGGGCCGCCATGACCCGAAGGAGGCCTGGAGCCCCCCTGCCCCCGCAGGCTCCCCCGGGGCTTCTCTCCGAGCACACCACCTATTCTGACTTCCAGCCCCACAGATCCATCTTGCTTCTTTCTGAACTTCATATACAGAGAATCACACCAGGTGTTGTTCTCTTTTGGTTTTGGCTGCTTTCACACTGTAAATGTGTGTGTGTGTGTTTTCATGCCTGTGTTCCACTGTGTGAATGTATAACATGTGCTCCACTCTACTGCTGAGGGACATTTGGGTGATTCCGCTTCAGGGCTACTATGAGTAAAGCTGCCAGGAGTGTTCCCGTTACATCGTCTGGAGCGCACAGCACACACTGTTGCTGGGTGTTTATCTAGGAGCGGGATTACTGGGCAGGGAATTTGCATATGTTTTGCTTTAGCGGTTCCTGCCAAACAGTTTTCCAAAATGGTTGCTTCAAGGGATACTTGCTCCTGCAGTGTGGGAGAGCCTGGTTGCTCTACCTCCCCATTAAGACTTGGCATTTACTGTCAGGCCTCCCAGTTTCAGCTGTTCTGGAAAGGGCGCGGAGGTATCCCACTGGGGCTTTGATTTGCATTGTCCTAATAACTGATGACGTTGAGCACCATTCACGTGCTTACTGACCATCTGGGTGGCTTCTTTCAAGATGTGCAGGGGTGGGCATAGCTCAGTGGTAGACGGCATGCTTAGCATGCATGAGGTCCTGGGTTCAATCCCCAGTACCTCTGTTAAAATAAATAAATAAACCTAGTTATGCTCCCCTCACTGAAAAAAATAAAATAGAGGAAGAACAATCTTTTAAAAAACCATTAATACAAAAAAAAAGTGCCTGTTCACATCTTGTCATTGTTAAAAATGAGGTTGTCAGTCTTTAATCTTACTGGTTTGTAGGAGTTCCTTCTACATGCTGGGCGTGAGTCCTTTAGCAGACCTATACATTTAAATGTCTTCTCCTAGTCTGTGGCTTGCCCTTTCCCTCTCTTAAAATTGTCTTTTGATGAATAGAAATTCTAAATTTTAATAAAGCCCTATTTATCATTATTTTCATTAATTCATGATATGTGTGTGCTGTTCTACTTAAAATGTATTTGTCTACCTCAAGGTCATAAGGCCATTTCCTCTATTTTCTTCTAGAACATTCACTGTAGTACCTTTCATATTTTATCCATGATCCATCTTGAGTTAATTTTTTGTGCATAGTGTGAGGCAGGGATCTAGGGTCAAACCTCTCCCTCTGGATAACCCACTGCCCAGTCCCCACGGAATTGGGGTGGTGTCTTTACTGTAAGCCAGGTGATCCTTATTCATAATTTTTATAATAACTGAATTCACAAAGTATTCTACAAATTCCATGCCATCCCAATATAATTTTTAGCAGAAGTTTATCATTCTAAACTTCATTTGGAAGTGAAATACACAAGAAGAGCCAAGAAAATGCTTAAAAGAACATGGAGAGTGGACTTGTTCTACTATCAAATCACATCAGTTCCTACCTCCAGGGCCACGGTGAGGATTCCAGGAGCACACATACATGAGGCACTTGGGAGAAGAGTAGGGGCCCCTGCTGTGAGCCCCAGACGCTTCTGACCCGCTCTGACACCTCTCCCAGGGGCTCCAACACCTCTCCCAGGGGCAGAGCAAACCCTGGTGCAGCCCCACTCCTGCCAGCGCCATTTGGGACACATCTTAACTTCAGGATCCTCTCCCTTGCCCCAGCCCTTGCCATTAGGAGACTGATGATTCGAAAGAGACAGGATGCCACTTCACACCCACTAGGATGGCTACAATTTAAAAAACAGAAAATAACAAGTGTTGGTGAGGACGTGGAGAAATTGGAACCCTCACACTTTGCTGGTGGGATTGTTAAGCGGTGCAGCCACTATGGAAAGCAGGTTGATGGTTTCTTAAAAGGTTAAACATTGGCCTCACACGTGACACAGAAGTCCCACTCTTATGTGTACATCCAAAAGAACTGCTGGCAGGGACTCAGATGGATATCAGTACACCATCGTTCACAGCAGCGTTACTCCTAACAGCCAAGAAGGTGGAAACAACCCAGGTGACCATCCGTGGATGAATGGTACATCCACAGTATTCAGCCATAAAAGGAATGAAATTCTGACACACGCTCTCAAGTGGATGAGCCTTGAAAACATTATCTAAGTGAAAGAAGCCAGACACAAAAAGCCACATACTGTATGATTCCACTTATATGAGGTCCCTAGAGGAGTCAGTGGACAGAGACGGAAAACAGAATGGTGGTTGCCAGGGGCTGGGGGAGGGTGCCTTGGTGTCTAGTGAGTATGGAGGTTTTATTTTGGGGATGATAAAAAATTTGGGGGTGGTGGGTGATGGTTGCACAACATCGTGAATGTATTCAACGCCACTAAGAGGCACACTTATGAATGGTTTTACAGTGATAAGTATTATGCTATATTTATGTTACTACAGTAAAAGAAGAAAAAGAAGGAGGCTGACAGGCAAACTGTGAAGGGGCAGGAAGACGGCGGTACTCACCTTGGTGATCCTCCGATCTCTGTTCAGCACCAGACCTGGAAGGAAGCACAGAGACGGGGCCTCAGCTCGGCTTCCCCGGGGACCCCAGGCCCTTTCAGCCGGGGCTCATTTCTTCAGCCTGGACCTGCGGGGACCACCCCCAACGTCCTCTTGGGGTTCAGCCAGGGCCACCCCAGAGGGGAGTACAGGATGATGGTGGTGGGAACAGGACCCACCTGGCATTGCAGTCTCGTCTCTGAGAACCTTACAATGTTCATTCAGATCTTTACGCACCAGGAGGTACCCAACAGCTAAGAATCGCATCATCACTTGTTGAAGAGAAATTGAGCCAAAAAAGAAAGGTGGGAGGGGTGGAGGCCTGGGTGGTCCCATCTCCACCTGACAGTTCCAACGGGGGCAACCTGGCCTCACCCAGGCGGATGGACAGCCGGCAATTCCTGCCTGGACAGTGTCCCTCAGGAAGTGGCCACAGGGTGTCGGAGGCACAGACCCTCAGACCCGGCCCAACGCCAGCAGCGTGGAGAGTAGGGGGTCAACCCCACAAACGTGCTGCCCGAGAGAAGTAAGGCGGCCCCCTCCTTCCTACACGTCTTTGCTCAAACACCCCCGTCCCAGCCAGGCCTCTTTGATGACCCCTTTAAACCCACAAACATCTCGTCCGAGCCCCTCCGCCCCCTCTGATTACTTTTCTCCATGACTCCCGCACTTTCTAACAAGCTCTAGTGTCTACCTTCTGCTGCTTCTTTCTTCCGAGAAGCCTTACGCTTCCCTGAGGACAAGGAGTTTGGTCCGTTATTCACAGCTGAGTCCCCAGGCCCGAGAACAAGAATGGAGCCTGCAACACGGCAGGTGCTCAGAAAGCACTTGGTGAGCGAGTGAGTAGATGTTTTCCTCGGGTGTCAGAGAGGGGGTGGCATTGGGGGTGGCCAGGGCTCAGAGGAACAGGTGCTGTTCTCTTGTCTGGCTGGGTGATGGGCACATTACTGCTACTGTGATTACTATTATTAATAATATTATTATTAGTTAAATGTACACATATGCACCAACAGGATTTTGGAAGGGAACTAAACTACTTGGTTCTAGAGTTCATATGGAAAAATAAATCAGAAAAAACAACGTAGCAAGAAAACTGAAAAAGAGCAAGGAAAGGAGACTGCCCTATAGACATTAAGCCCACCGTGGGGCCTCAGTAATCTACCCCATGCAGTGCTGGCAAGTGACAGACAGCCAGAGTCACAGAAAGACAGAAACAAGGCCCAGAGATGAGCCAGGACAGACGGGTAGCCAGGGTGGGATGCGGCTGCCCCTTATGCCGGTGAGGGTGCAGACAGGCAGACTTTTATAAAGTGGAATTACAACTGAGGAGCCATCTGGAAAATGACAAAGGTAGATCCAAACCTCACCCTGTCCTCTAGATCAATTCCCAATGTGTCCAATGTTTAAATGCCAA